ACTTTTTAAGTAACTAAACACAAAACATTAAATTTCTTATTTTTGCATTTCTGAATTTAAAGTCCAATGTAAATTTTTCTTCTTTCAGCAGGACTACATTATTTAAAAGCAGATGCAAAAAATGCTGATTTTTTCTTTCTGGAATAATCTAATACTAACTGCATCAAATATGATTTACCTCCTATTGAATCAGAGATAATTTACCTCATATCTGTAAGTTTCATTTTCCTCAGGGGGATTTTGAGCATCTGTATCCAAATTCCAGCTGTCAGGCTCAACACTGAAAGTAGCACCTCCAAATTTGTCAAGCAACTGATCAAAATTTTCTGCTGTTGGGATTTCAGGGGTTTTGAGGTACAGGGCTTGTTTATCTGTCAAAATATTTAAAGAAGGATATAATTTAAATTAAAAAAATATACAGAAACAATACTTAGTAACAATGAGACAACTTTAAACATTATTTATTTAGGATGCTAAATTATTTACAAAAAAAAAAAAAAAAAACCAAAGTATTTTGGTTTTTCCAACAGATAAGACAAAGAATACCAGATGTTTAATTCTGGTTTTCACGAGTGAAAGGATCACAACATAAGGACTGTGAGCAGACAGAATTACCAGTTTCCTGAGAGGTTTAATAAAATAAAAATAGTTTTAAATTTAGTCTTTTTTTTCTGTTACCTAAAGACCCAACAAAAAATTACACCAAAATGCTTAATATTGCCTACAACTCTACTTACAGTTTGTCGCATGAATGCAGAAAATACTGGGATTGACTTGGTCAATTATTTTAAATATCCTTTCTGGTGGATTTGCTTCAACATCAAGAGAATACACAGCAGCTTTCTGACTACACAGCTGGCTGTCACCCCTGCAAAGAAACAAAATAAATGAATGATCCACTAGAAGTTAGTGTTGACCAGATTTTAAAATTCTTTTAATCTACTGAGGCAGCAACAGAAAAACAAAAAAGCATGAAATGACTGAAATTAACATAATTTGGAGAACAATTGTGCATCCTTACAAGGTTCCTGTTGTTTTATACTCTGTGCTTAATAATAAATAATACAGAATTATCCAACAGGTTTTATTCAGCAGAGGAAACTGTGAGCAGCAACATGAAGGTAGATAAGAAACAGACTGGGGGAGGGAAAACCAATGACAATATGAGAGAGAAAATGCCAAATTGTGTGGGATCCAGATGGTTGAGACCCCAAAAATGCAGGGCTGCACCACAGGCCACACACAGCTCAGCAGCACTTTCATTTCTACAACCCAAGTGGGATGTCAGAGCAGGAAAACAGGTCAGTTTTGTGGATATTGGAATAATACTCAATTTGAGCAGGGAATGGGAAGAATTCCTGCTCGAGATGCAAATGAAAGAAATGGCAGAGAGAGGAACAGGAGGTGAAATAACCCAGCCTGTCTTGGAAAAGTGTTTAAGGCTCATCAGGAGCCCAGAGCTGCAGGAAAATGTGCCAGTTCAGAACCTGCAAGCACTGCTGTGTCCTACATGCTACATCCCTGTGAAATTGGTATTTAGCAGCATAGAGCAGCTAAGGACAGGCCCTGGAGAAGTGAAATGACTTTCAGAAATTTTGAAGCCTGGAGTTGAGCTCTTCCATGAGGTGAGTCACTTGTTAATAGGATTCCATCATAAATCAAACCCTTCTGCTGCTGTTTCAGAGATCTCATGGCCTCTGCCTTGAGATCAGCCAAAATAACACAAATATGCAAATGTAGATAAACTCTGATGTAAATAATGAGACCCACAACACCTGCAGACACTGAAAAACCCCTGGCTTTTCATGCAAAATAAATGTTTTACACAAAAGAATTTGGGCAAAGAAACACAATTTCATTTGAGGCATTTCTAGTTGACAAAGGCAGCACAGTCATCTGAGGCAATTAAAGTGTCACTCAGGAGGGTGTTGATTAGACCTTTCTGATCTATATAAATATCTGTAAATGGGGAGCAGGAGTCTTTTGTGTGCCAGAACAATAAGAAAGCACAGTCTGGCAGGACTGCTAATTCAAATTCCAAAGCACCAAGAATAAACCCAGTGCTCAGATTGGCATAATTTATACAGAAGGTGGGTTGAAAAGCTGCACTTATTGTTCTGAGAAGTCACCAAGAGATTTTTTTTTTTTTTTGCACATTATTATTTTGAAGTGAGCTTTCTTAACTCCTCTTTGAAAAGATGGAATTGGGTGAAGGTGTTTTCAGATTAAATAGCAAAGAAACAACTCTTGGCTTTACTTTTTTTGGTATGTTACATTTTAGTGTTTGTGAAGTGGCATTGGGGGAACAGATTGGGATGGTGAATTGCAAAATTAGGGTCAGAAAAATGCTCACACTATTTCAACAAGTTCTGAACTGATTAATTGTGTAGCTGATATCAGAAATGTAACCAAAGAGGTTACTGATAACAACTGGTGATCTAGAGAAATGGCCAGATTGATCCTTTGGTATCAGTTTTCTTAACTTCCAGACACTGCATTGATCAAAGTCTAAAGATTCATCATTCTTCCATGTGGCAGGCACATTCTTCTCTCTTTCAGGATTTTCCATAGAGGAGCACAGAGGAAAGAAAGAGAAAAATTTCTATTTCTGCTCCTTGTTTTTCCTATGTGGAATGTGTTTGGAGAATTGTTTACCTGGGGTGAGTGATGGTTTGGTTGGATTCTGGTGAGGATTGTTTGAGCCTGATGGCCAATCCAACCCACCAGGGGCTGGACTCAGAGAAGGTCAGGAGTTGGGAGGGAGTTGGATATGGTTGTTAGAAAAAGTAGATTTGTAGTTTTAGTATCTCCTTTAAATAGTATATTAATTTATTACAGCATAGTTATAATAAATAAATCATTCAGCCTTCTGGAGTCAGACATCAGCATTTCTTCCCACCGGGTTCACCTGCATTTACAATACTTCCACCCCAAAAAAAGCATCACCACCTAAATGCCCACAGGGAGAAAAACGGTAAAACAGGAGGAAAGAGGGAATGAGAGGAAGAGAACGGGTGGGAGGTGGATTTGCTGCTCTGCCTGGTCAGGGACAGAGCGCAGGAGGGAGGGTGGGAATTGCTGAGAGGGGAAGACAGAGCCGTGCCAAAGGCAGGCAGCAAATGAAGAAGGATTTTGTGGTTTTTTGTGCTTTCTGCTGATTTCTGCACTCACATGACCAGCGGCACCGAGCACGCGGTGAAGAGGCTGAAGTCCTCGGCGCTGCAGTCGGGGTCACAGCAGCAGTTGGTGTCACACTGTGCCACCAGCAGGTCGCAGACACACAGCCTGGCAACTGCACCAGAGAGTGATATCAGAACTGCAGCACTTCAAACCCAAACACTTCCACTTCCCACCTCGCCCTGGTTCTGACACTGGCCAAAAGTCTTCTCCAAATTCAAGTTTTCTTGAAGTTATTTTTAAAAGCCATCTTTTCTGATGCTCAGCAAATTTATTTGGAACACATGGACAAAATCAAGACGTGCTAAAATTTGTTCCCTGAGAAACAAAACCCAACAGGGATTTTGGAGGTGTGAAAATCTACTCAGCCTTGCAGAGGAAAAAAAAATAAGAGATACCAACAAGGTGTGTTTATCTGCTTGTTTCAAGTTGTTGGGAAGGAAAATAAAACATTTTGAAAGAGCAGAGATGTTTACAAGTATTGAGGATGGTTCAGGAATATATTTCCCTGATGTGCCAACGCAACCATAATTTACTTATTTGAAATTGTTTTTTCTCTCTGTTTTTAGATACTGTGACATATTGTAATCACAGACAGTGTAATTGTTAATAATTCTGTAAACTGTCTCAGTAAAATATACTTGACAAATTTTTCAAACTCTCTGAGGTCTTCAAGTTTATAAATTCAAAGAACAGAGATTATTCTACTGAACTGTTTTTGAGAGTTGCTGTTCTATAATTAATCTGGATTTAAGAATAGCACAGAATGAGGAAAATTAAGGCCAGTGTTTTATAAGAAAGACATTCAAAGAATATTTTCATAACTGATTCCTTTATTTCACTTTGCTGCCTGTTTCCCTGTGGCTCCCTGAGTGTTCTCTGACCACCTGAACAGTATCCAGGTATTTCCTGGAATCTCTGAAGTTCTGACTGTTCTGTTGGCTGAGCTTAGCCCTGGATCCTTAGCTCACCCTGTAAACAAGAGAAGTTTAAACATGGATAATTAGATTGCAAGGTTATGCCTGTGACATTAGGGATTTAAGTCTCTTTTCTCTAAGGAGGTAGTACTGGGGTGGGTTTTGTTAGGAAAGTAACCCATGGAAAGCTCAGCTCAGGGCAACACCACCCTATATAAAAGTGATATAAAAATGTAGCAAATTATACAGTGGGAAACACCTTCTGAGAACATAGTAACTAAACCTCGTGAGCTGTTTTTATGACAATGTATCAGCGCTGGGGCCGAGCCTCGGGGCAAAGCGTGCAGCCAGCTCCGGGTGCGGCAGAGCTCCCCGGGGACACCCGGGGCACTCCGGGCTGCTGTGCCCAGAGCAGCGCTGGGTGGGCAGGAGACGCTGCCCTCCGCCCCTCCGCCCCTCCGCGCTGTGGGATGCCCGGTATGTGATGTCCCTGCCGCCATCAGCGTGCCCGGGGCTGCTCAGGGCTCGCCGGGGAGGCTCCGAGCGGCCCCGACCCCAGAGATCCGCGGGAGAAGCCGGGCGGGTGTGCCAGTCCCGGGAGGCCGCAATGCGAAGGGGAGGCCAAAGGGCGAATGCCCGAGTGAGGCCGCCAGCGGAGCTCCCCTCAGCCGGGCAGCGCCGCCGGCGCCCCGCAGCACACCCACCGTCCGTGACTGGGGCCGGCGCGCTGCGGACCGGCGCCTGTGCGGCATCACGAGTGTCTGCGGGCTCCGCGGCCGGCTCTTCTGCCCGGAGCGGAAGGAGGAGGAGGAGGATGAGGATGAGGAAGAAAACCCCGAGCCCCGGCGGCGCCGCCATGGCGGCCGCCCTTAGCAACGGCGCGTTGCTAGGGCGCGCGGGCATGGCGGGAAGGGCGAGTCCCGCTCTCGCGAGACTTGGCGGGCGGAGGGGAAGGGCCGCGGCGGGTTAATGGCGGGTGAGGGGAGGGCATGGCGGGCCCGCTGTGTGCGGCTCCCTCAGCCGCCCTCGGGCTCCCTCACCGCCCCACAGCGCGGGGAGCCTCGCAGGGAGGCCACGCGCAGCGTTCTGGCTGGATATGGCCGTCGTAGTGGTGTCAGGCGGCCGTTTAGTGCCACCCAGCGCCCTCAGGAGCAGCCCGGCGGTGATGGGGGGTCGGTGCCCCCTCAGAGCACGGGAAGGGTTTCAGGTGTAGTGATCCAAATATAACCCACGTAGGTGGTTTGGGAAAAAGTTCTTGGAAGGCCACGCATTAAAAAAAAAAAAATTGAGGAATGGCCCTTTGAGATATATAAAATATCTATATATTTATATAGATATATATTCTACATCTCTAAAACTATATTTCACATACTTTTGCAAGTTTTTTTTTAGTAATCTTTTCCTAAAGTAATTTTTAAAGTGTTGAAGTTTCTCCTTTTGAAGATGCTGTGGGTCCTCGGTACTCTGAGCATATTCATAATCTTTATGTGCACTGTTATCTTTGAGGTCTTTTTCAACCTAAATTATTCTATTTTCTACTAATTTGGAAAAAAAACTGCACTAGAAAGTGACTAAATGATCATTGTTCCTTAGATCTTTTCCAGCCTTAAAAATTCTTTGATCTGTTTTTATTTCCCTGACCAGGTTCATTACTGTGACCTCGAAGGGAAGGCAACAAAAGTTCTCAAAAGCTCTAAAAACTGCAGCTGCACCAATTGAAAATGGGAATAACTCCACAGAGCCCCTCATCTGCCGTGCCCACACCGCAGGAGTGAGGGAGGAGTCACCCGAGGCCACCGAGGCCGTTTGATCTTATCTAAGATCTGGTGCCCGATGGGTTTCAAACAGCTCCAGCATGTGGAACAAAATCCTGGAGTCATCCTTGGAATGGCCTCTTTCCTCCAAGGACACAGTGACACAAAAGGTGAGAACCCCCTGTGCTCCACTCTGCCTCAGAAATTGCGCCCCAAAATAACCTTGCCAAAAATAACCTCCAACCTGCATTCCTTGTGAGATGTAACCCAAAATCACTGGTTTTACCTTCATCCATGGGGATGAAGAGCTGGTGTTTTCAGTCTCTTTGTTTGCTGTTCCTGAAGTAGCCAAAATGCTGCTGCTGGTGTTGGGTTTGTTATTTTTTTTCAAACTTAGAGTGACTTCACACATTTCATTTTGAAAAGGACCTGGAAAAATGACACCATAGGGTTTTATTTCCACTGAGGCTGTACCACGACTGGCTGCAGCCACTGGAGAGGATATGTGCCTGTGTTTGGAGAAAATCCTGGGGATCTTTACAGCTCCATCTCTTTCACTGTCCCACAGCAAAGGAACAAAAAGAGAGGCAATCCTGCAAGAAAGACAGCTGGAACACGTGGCTGAGATACAACCTCCCTCTGGATGGAGCTGGTTTAGGGCCTTTCAGCACCTTCAACTTCCTTGACTAAACTCCCACATGGTCAGTTAACAAGGATGGAGATGTTTCTTCTCCCTACAAGTCCTACAAAGTTGGAAATTTGGAATTTATTTTGCAGGCTTGGAGGGAGAGTGGTGCTTGGTTTATTTTATCGTCACTGGTTGTGATCTGTGTCCTTGTTCCACTGCAGTGTCATGAGATAATTAATACTAAAACACCGCTATTTTTTATTTTACATGTTTCTCATGCCTTTAAAATCAGTAGAAGAGGGCTGATGACATTGCACAGGGGAAAACAGAATTTAATAAATTCTTTTTGCATCGGGAATTACTTGGCAAAGCTGATGGTGCACAGGGGACCAACTCCAAGATGAAAACCAAGCCTTGCTGAAATCTGAAAGCACAGATTGCACCCTGGATGAATGTGGGCAGGAGCTGGATGAATAAAGAGGTATTAATTCTTACTGCATCTACCATTGAAATGGAATAGAAGTGGGCAACTGTTCAAAAGCAAAGTAGGATGGAATTAATCTGGTTTTCTCGTGACCTTTTTTTTTTAGGGCTTCACTCACAGCAACAGTTCACCTAAATCCACTTAAAATACTTGCTGTAACAGGAAAAAAAAAAAAAAAAACCCACCTTTGTCATGCAGACAAAGGCAGGACATCTAAGAAAAACAATTTGAGAAACCCCCCACCAGAAAACTCACCCTGGTATTGGACTTCTGAAACAGGTTCCAAAGAGCAACTCCAAATGTGTAGGATAAGATCAAGGCATCAATACATAATGCTTGTTCTCCACCAGTGAGATTTTAATTTATCCTGTCAACATGAGCTAATTAATAATTAAAAAGCGCACTGTGATCATTATGTGGGAGGTTCTATAAAATGAAAATTCAAGCAATTTGAGAGGCAGGAGATGCCTGTTTATTAAAAAAACACATTTGGGGATTTACTCTATTACTGTTTCAATTACAGTTTCAGCAGCAAGATTTTGATGTGCATTTAAGCATTCTAGAAGCTGTGACTGCCCCATCCCTGAAAGTGTCCAAGGCCAGGTTGGAGCAACCTGGGAGTGTCCCAGACGTCCCTGCCCATGGCAGAGGGTGGAATGAGATGATATTTGATCCCAACCATTCTGTGATTCCTGTTGGTGATCTTCTGACTCTGCATCTTCTCTTGATTCCTCATGTGGGAAGTCTCATGTTGTCCTTCTCACATTAGTATTCTTTTTAATCCAACTGTGCTGTCTTGAATTTCTTCTTTTCAGAGGTAACACGAGGTTTGCCCTATGACAGATCACTTTAAAAGTCCAAGTGGACAGGCATTTAGAATTAAGAGTCCAAACAAAGTCAAACCAGGCTGAAATAAACTGCATTTTGGTCTAGCACAAGATTAGCCTTTTAATAAATAGTGAGGAGCTGAGGCAGTCTGTACAGCAGATGGCATTACAGGTAGTATTTTTCACACTCCAATCTCAGGGTTCAGATACTTTGGAGGGAGGACTGACATCAGCTATGAGTGAATCAGTTTTAAAACAAGCTGGAAACCTGCTCATGCCTTCAGCATTCAATTCCTTTGTGCAGCACTTCTGCTTTGCACTCCCCAGTGCATTTATTGGTCTGGACAAGCCTAGCAGGAAGAGTTCATTCTGTTTTTGCAGTTTAAGTGAGCTGATGTAAATAGATCTTGGACTTTGAGGTGGGAAGATTCCACCCAGCTGCAGTAACCAGGGGGATGCCCTTTGGTCCAGTTTTTGTGCCAAATTTGTGCATTGGGGAATTTTAAACAAATATCACTTGGCAGGATATCGACTCTCAGGGTACAAGAATAACACTGAGTAAGGCAGCAGGGCATGGGCTGGGAGGGATTTACAGGGAGAACTATCCAAACTGACACTGAACAGTGGAGAAAACCAGTTCTGAAGTATTTTATTAAAAATAGTTGGGTTTTTGTCTAACAGGAGCCCAGAGATCATCTGAATGAAAACCAGGAGCAGTATTTCATCTGGGCACAACATCCTCGTGCAGGAGTGACAGAGTTCATCAAAGGTTACTAATTACCATGGAAATTATGAGGTTGTCTGGCTGTCTGGACAGACTTGGGTGGGTGACCTGGAGTAGAATCATGGGACCATTAAGACTGGAAAAGACTTCAGAGATCAAGCCCAACCTTTGACCAAATACCCCCATGCCACTAAACTGTGTCACAAAGTGCCACATCTACTTGTTTTTTGAACTCTTCAAGGGTTTGTGACTCCACCACTTCCCCAGGGAGGCTATTTCAAAGACTTTCATGGGTGGAGGAGTGTGAAGAGCTCCTGGTGTGCCTTGGCTTGGGGGCACTTCGGGAAGCACAGAGTCGTGCTCTGCCAAGTGAGTTTGTCAGCCCTGAGCTCACGATGTTCCTCAGCGTTTGAGCCGTGGCTGCTGGGCAAAGTGGCACAGAGAGAACTCTTCCAGCCCTGGAAAAGTCGGCATTGAGGCATGGAGAACTCAGCTTTAGCTGGGGGGGGATCACGGGCTGAGCAGCACAGGCAGGTGATGCAGGACAGGTCACCTTGCAGCAACCCGAGCTGCCTCAGGGCACTGCAGGCAGCAGCACAGAACAAGGGGTTAGACCAGGCTGGACTTGAACCAGACAGGACCGGGACAAGGAGGAGGAAGAATGAGACTCAAGGAAGGGAAAGAATGATTATGTGGGGGGAGCTCTGCAAATATGTGCTTCCCTTTGCTGATAAAGGAGGGTGTGAGGCACTGAGAGAAGCTACCTTGTTTGTCTGCTCTCACACCCTGCCCTGGCAGCTGCACGCCCTTATCTCCAGCACATTGGCACATGCAGCCTTTCCCTAATCCACCACACTGGGCCTGGGCTGCTTCTCGTGTTCATTTCTCCCTGTTCTAACAGGAGGATTAATTTTTTAATAAGTTTGGATACAATTTCAGCGTTAACTGGATAATTCTACACATTGCTTAAGCCTTTAGCAGTATAACGGGGGTAATACTGTCTCTGTCCAGGTGCACAGGGAGCAAAATGCCTCCCGTGGGATAATGAGGGTGCTTCAGCTGTGGCACAGAGTTCTTCTTTTCACTGCAGGCAGCCGGGGGGACAGGTTTCACACTTGCCTCTGCTGCATTTCCACCTCTATTGTTTGTTGTCTCGGGTTATGCAAGTGGCAGCAGCCTCTTGTGCCTGTACCCAGAGGAAATTAAACGAATTTGCAAAGCAACCTGCTGGGAACTTCCAAGGGGACAAAACCATTGTTTGCACACCCACGAGCAGCACGGAAAACCGAGCTGCAGAAAATGAGGATTTGGGTCTTTTTGAGTATTGCGGGTCTTTGCAACATTGATGCCTTGAAGTCGTTGCTGTTGAAGATGCCCAGCTGAGAGCTTTGTGTCACTCTCAAGTACAATTAACGTGATTTATGGGGTTTGAGCGATGACTGCACACACAACACACCCTTCTCGTGAGGCTTTTGTTTGGCATTTCACGTTCCTTAACCAAAATGGATTAACTGCCAGCCTTGCCACGGATTTGCAGAGCAGCCTGTCACGCAGAGCACTGAGCTGGCTGTGTCCCCGGCCGCAGCGAGCCGGGGAGAACAGGGCGAGTCATCCTTGGGGGAAAATAAAACCCAAAACCCAACACATTTTTGCGCGGCGTGACTCACATAACCGTCCTCAGCAGGCACCAAGCACCGGCGGCCAGCGAGTCCCCGCGAGTTATTCGGAGCACGCGAGACGCGCGGGGCGTGGAGGGCAAGTATGTGGGTTAGGCGCAGGCGCGCTGTGCCCGGTGTGAGAACGTTAATTGCGTTAATTGCGTTAATTGCGGTCGAGAGGCGGGGGCGCGGGGGCTGCCGGGAGCCGCCCGCTGTTATTGTCCCGCAACATGCAAATGAGGCGGGGCGGAGAGCCAATGGGGGGCGGCCGCGCGCCGCCGCCGCGCACGCGCGCCGGGAGGCGGGTTGGGGGGGCGGGGCCGGCCGCGCGCCCCGCCCAGCGCCGGGGCCCTCAGCTCGCCTCAGCACGCGCGGCGAAGATGGCGGCGGGCGGCGGGGCGCGGGGGCGGCGCGGGCGGCTCTGACCGGGCACGGCGGGCACGGCGGGGAGCGAGCCCGGAGGGGAGCCCCGAGAGCTCCGCGGGCAGCGGGGAGCTGGCACGGCCCCCCTCGGGGGCGGGGAGGGTGGCGCGGAAGGCGGGGGCGCTGCCGGCGAGCCCGGCCGTGAGGGGCAGCGCGCGGGCCGTGAGGGGCAGCGAGGGCGGGTGAACGGCAGCCGCAGCCGGACGGACGGGGCTCCGCGGCGGGCAGCGCTCGGAGCGGCGGCGGCGGCGGCGGCGCGGGCCGGCGGGCAGGGGAAGGAAGGCTGGCGCCCTGCGGCTGGCGCTCGGCGGGCAGGAGGCGGCTGCGCCGGTGGCTCCCCGCGTTCCTGGCGCTCGGCTGCTGGGCGCCCCACGCCATGTTCTCGGTGCTCTCCTACGGCAGGCTGGTGGCGCGGGCGGTCCTGGGCGGCCTCTCGCAGACGGACTCCCGCGACTACAGCCTGGTGACGGCCAGCTGTGGCTTCGGTAAAGATTTCCGCAAGGGCATCCTCAAGAAAGGCATGTGCTACGGGGATGACGCCTGTTTCGTGGCGCGGCACCGCACCGCGGATGTGCTGGGTGAGTGGCCGGGCCGGGGGCTGAGGTGGCTTCGGCCTCGCGGTGTGACCCCCTCCTTCTCCTTCCCGGAGCTGCACGTGGCGAGCGGCTCAATCCCTGGTCTCAGACAAAGGAGCTGGTTTTGCCTGTCATTGTCACCGTGACTTCGCTTTTTTAGCTTCCCAAGAAAGCTCTCGGGCTCTTTGTTGCAGCTCTGCCTGCCTTTAGCACGGGGGGTTTTGTGTGCCGGGTGTCCGGACCCAGTCTGGGCGTTTCACCTGTGGGTGCTTGTAAGGCCTGGTGGCTCCAAAACTCAGAGAAACAGTTCCCAGTGCGTTTCAGTTTCTGTCTTTCTTTAAAACCTGAGCCCCGTGTACATACATTGCATTTAGACAGACAAGATCACTTGAGCAGGCACTTCCTGATTTTAAGGCGTGCAGTGTCCTTGTCAAGTGAAAGGCAGAGTGACATTGAGACTGGAATCAAATGTCAAACTTCAGTTTCGTTGTTTGTTCTGGCCTGGTTGCACTCTCCGGTTCAGAATCACTGGCGAAAGGAATCTTAAGGGTTCAAATTTTAGAAGTAGTGAATAATTATGGATAATCAGTAGAATCTTCAGACTATGGCCAGCATTGCTTTTGACAGTGCTTTGACCTTTCTCCTGTGTACTCAAGGTTGAATTTGGCTGACCGATATACTCTGCACAAGTTAGTCGTGGTGTAACTGCCAGAAGCAAATTTTTGCCAAAACTTTGACACTTAAAAAAAAGCTTCATTCTCCCTGCCCCTGCGCGTGGTTTTGGTGGGTTTTTTTTTCTTGTTATTGTTTTTGCATTTATTTATTTTAAACCGGTGGGGTTGCAGTGTGCTGTCTCGTGCTGTGAAAGTGGTTGGTGGTTCCTCTGTTTGGCACTGTCATTGTAACTTGGTTGCCATTTGACAGCGCTGAGAGGTTTTCCTCAGGAAGCTGCAAGTTGATGCTAGGTTACAGTTATTGCTGCTTATTCTCAAGGAAGCTGTTACTGTACGAGTGATGCCAGAGCTCTCAAGATGTGGAAGGTTGCTGGGTGCATTTTAGACACTCATCATCTTCCCTGTGGTGCCTCTTCCAGATAAACTTTTTGGGATTAGAATTAGCTGTTGGACGCCCTTCCTTTAGCATGTGACTAACCCTGGCTGCCTTTAAAGTTCATGCTAGACCAGCACTGATAGATAACTGAGCAATTGGTGTTTGCCCTGAAGAGAAATGCAGGATCTCCTGTACTTTGAAGTGAACTCTCTGTGTGGGGAAGAGACAGATTTAGCCCTATTTGATTATTGTTAGGGGGTTTTGGCCATATTTGGTGATTACTGTATGTGGACCTACAGTTTGTCTTGTGTTCCTGTTGGAGTCAACAGAGAGTTCCATTTCTAAGTTGGTCTTTGCATTAATTTTCATGGTAACTTGGAAACAAACAAGCTGTCTTCAGAATTGTAGCTCCACTTAAGGATTAAACAGCAAAGAAGGCAGCAGACCCAGGATGTCTTAAGTACCAAGAAGGAAATAATTTAAATAGAAAACCTGTTGGTTTGTTTGATTTTGGGATTTCTCCCCTGGT